GAATCTGAAACTAAGGACGTTAAAGCTAAACAGTCACATGCCAGGAAAAGAATGCACACAAGAAGATAGAATACACAGACCCAATAAAGCTAAACAGTCACATGCCAGGAAAAGAATGCATACAAGAAGATAGAATACACAAGCCCAATAAGATGACTCCACCAGTGCTACATGAAATTTACTCCAATTTTTCTTTGATTTTAAAACTATCATTTTAAAGCTTCAACTAGTTTCTCAAAGTTCCAATCATCGACGCCCGGCTTATATGAAGAGAAATAACAAGTGACATAAACGTAATTAGTGAATTGATTTCCGGAGTTTCATTGCCATACAATCAGAGGACATGCTTTCAGACTTTGAGGGAATGGTGCGCTCCATATTTGGCCCTTAACACGATTAAACCCTGGGAACTCGTAGTTGATTCATACCAACTACACAGCTCCTCTACATGTATCAATTTTATTTACATTTCATCAAAAGAAAAATAAAATCATATAATATGGTAATATCCCAGTTGTCTATGATGTCAATGTACAAAGTCATTTTCTGATATATAATATACTTAATCAGAAAATAATTAATCAAAATATTTCATTCATCACATTCACTATAAGGATCGATAAAACATAGCTATACAGAATTAGTCAAGACGTCACCCTTTCCAAAAATCATCAAGAGAATATGCTCTCTTAACTTAATTTTGTGTTGGTCATGTTATTAGGCCTTATTTTTTTGACTGAATTCCTTGTTAGAGAAGAATATGCTAGTTTCTAGTTTACAGAGTAAAGAGGGGCCTAATATAGCTAGATTGAGAGAAGTAAGAGTCATGCACCTCCAAACTCCAAGCAGATTGTTACAAAAGCTTAATTCATTGTTGTTGTAAAGCACAGAAGCACCATTTACAGGATATCAAAACTATAGAAAGCAAAACAAAAAGATATTAAAGCAGTTGGGGAAATCAATCACATTCTGTTATTAATGTTTATACATATTTTCTTTCTTGCAACCATGTACCTGATTTAATTGCAAATAGTACCTAAGGTAGAATCGCTCCAGCAACTTGTATTTACCCTTCCGGATATTTACATTCAATATTTTGCAAGGTCCTGATACCCATCCTTCTCTAGGAAATATTGCTCTTCATGTTTGCATCTAACTGCATATCTTCTTTTGCTGCTCTTAATCATTTAATCCTTTGAAATCCATTCTTTTAACAATTTTATGGTAAAGGTTCACATTAACGAACTGTAAACTGCTAAAATTATATGAATCTTGGATTATGTGCTTTGGTATTGATTATTTTCGCAACTGAGCTTTGAGTACTTGTGTTTCTTGCTTGGTTTCTCCTCATTTCAAAACTATGTGATCCCTAAATCATTTAATTCCAGATTTGTCAATTAAACGCGACATGTTTAAGTTGATTCGAATTGTTACACTGTAATCCTTTGTTTTTCCCCAAACATCATGGCAACAATGAAAATGATTGTGGTCAACCTGCTGCTTCTAGGTAAATCAGCAATTCAGCAATGACTAGTTATCTCCTCTATATTCGTAAGTGTGAGGAAATCCGTCAAAAGACACATAAAGAAGCTGCAGATTCAGCAATGACTAGTTATCTCCTCTATATATCCTGCCACTGAAAGTTAAATTATAGGTATATATCATCTGAAAAGAATTTCCAAAAAGATCATAAAATTATGTTAATGTAATCTTTCACTCTCCTTTCTTAATGTAATTTCTTTTTAAAATAAAAGGCCAGGCATGTTAATGCAATTCTAGTTGTACTCTTCTCCCAGTTTTTTAGGTGATTCTTTTCCCAGTGTTTTCTTAATGTGCCAATGATAAGCAGGGTTATCTTTGGCTCCAATCTTAAAAATTCCAACATTTTTCTTGCTATTCCCCTGTAAAAATATATAACTCAGTTTATATTTATAACTACCTTATTCAACTCACTAATTAGAGTTGTCTGATTTTATTTTTAGATCCATGCACAAAACATGGACATTATCAGATACGAATCATTATCATTTGCAACCACATAAAACTGCGAGAAAATGGCATCAAGTGTGTATCATTGTCAAATATGACTTGTAACTCAGCATTATGATTAAAATTATAAAATTGGGAAACATAACGCTATTTAATGTCTAATCCATTAACTCTTTGTCTTCCTCAGTAGAACAAAACTTATACCGCACGCCATCTTCCATCTCAAAGTGTCTTTGGTCATGATTCCTACATCAATACTCTGCTTTGTTAAAACACAAGAATTGAATTCCTTGTGTCTCAGGAACTCAATTCTTGAGATGCAAGGAAAGGTGTTGTACTGATAGACAGGTGAGAAGAGATGCGCACATTCCTCAGAAACAAAGAAACGAATTGAGAGGGTGAATAGGAAGAGTAAAGAATCCATCTCATGGTATGCCTTCATTTATAAGTACCCAATCCTGATTTGTAAAGAGAGCAAGCTTGAAATTTGGTTGTGAACTCTCTGAAATCTCCAATACTTGCTTCTTTCTTGAGGAGATGGCCATGGTGCTGGATGCTTTAGCTGAAACCATAGTCAGTAAGCTGGCTGAGGTTGTTGAGGAGAAGGTGGCAACTGTCCTGGGCGTGAAAGAAGAGATCAAGAGGCTGCAGCGGAGGATGGAGAGCATCAAGCATGTGCTTCATGATGCCGAGAGAAAGCGCATCCAATCGGAATCAGTTGCACGCTGGGTGAGGGAGCTCAAAGATGTTATGTACGATGCCGATGACATAATTGACCTATGCAGGCACGAGGGTGGAAAATTGCTTGATGGCCAACCGTCTACATCATCTGATTCATCAACGGTATGTTGTAGCTGCCCTCGCTTATTCTCTTGCTTTACTAGCATCCGTTCCCGCTGTGAGATTGGTAATAGGATTAAGAAAGTAAATGAGAGATTGGAGGAGATATATAGAGATATATCAGTCCTTAAGTTAGTGAAAAGTGAGCCAGATATACAAGTCACAACAGTCGATCCTCGTCAGACCTCACCCATCATAGATACGTCCGATATCGTGGGGAGGGTCATTGAACGTGATACAAACGATCTGGTGGAGAGGATAGTTAAGCAAGATGAAAGAAAACTTCGAGTCTTTGCTATTACCGGAATGGGCGGAATAGGAAAGACTACTCTGGCTAAGAATATCTTCAATCACCCAAGAGTGAAGTCTGAGTTCTCAACAAAGATATGGGTCTGCATATCACAAAATTACTCAGAGACCTCTTTGCTCAAGGAGATAATAAGTGAAGCAGCAGGAGTTCCTTGTAATTTGCAAACTAGAGCACAACTGGAACCTCGACTGAAGGAAGCAGTTTCAGGAAAGACTTTCATTTTGGTGCTAGATGATGTGTGGCGAGCAGATGTATGGACGCATTTACTACGTAATTCACTACAGAGCGGAGCTGTTGGCAGCCGAGTCCTAGTCACAACTCGAGATACCAATGTTGCTATGCAGATGGGGGCGGCGGAGCACATCCATGCCATGGAAAAATTGCCGGCAGAATCTGGCTGGGAACTGCTCTGCAAGAGTTTATATGCCACCAGAGAGGAGGAGGAAATGCAGAGCCTGAGAGGTGTAGGGGAAAAAATTGTTGGAAAATGCGATGGTCTCCCTCTGGCAATTAAGAGCATCGCCGGTGTTTTAATAACAAAAGGGAGAAATAGGAGGGAATGGGAAAAAGTTTTGGAAAAGGATGCGTGGTCTATGGGCAAGCTGCCTAAAGATGTGAGGGGGGGCTTGTACTTGAGTTATGAAGATCTACCCTCTAACCTGAAGCAATGTTTTCTTTATTGCTCTTTATTCCCTGAGGATTATCGATTTGTTCGTGCTGAGCTCGTGCGGTACTGGGCGGCTGAAGGATTCGCAGAAACGCAAGAGGATTCCTTCTTAGAACCAGCGGACGAGTGTTTTGAGGAGCTAGTTAGAAGGCATCTTATTATTTATGAAGGAGATGGTAGTTATAAAATGCACGATCTCTTGCGATCACTTGCTCAGTTTCTGTCGCGGGATGAAAGTTTTTGTGGAGAAGCACAGGAATTGACTACAGTGCCCGCCACGACGAAACTTCGACGTCTGTCACTTACCGGCGAAGGAGGAGTGTCAGACGAAGAAGGAGGACCAGCACTCACCCCTCAAACTTTACTTTCGCAGAGGAGCTTGAGAACCTTGTTTCTAAGAAGAGGCTCTTACAGTCTTGGGAGCGACGTGTTTTCTGGATTTCCACTTCTCCGGGTCCTGTCACTGAGGAATTCAGGGATTGAGGATATTCCAGATGCTGTGGGAAATCTAATACACCTGAGGCTGTTGGATCTTAGCTGGACAAGAATATCCAGCTTGCCGGAGTCAATCAGGAACCTTACAGATCTCCAGGTTCTGGATCTCGCTGGCTGTGAGTCACTCCGCAGTCTCCCCAAAGGCATTACTCAACTGTGCAATTTAAGAATTATTGAAGCATTGGGGGCTATTAACCTGTCCTTTGTACCATCTGGGATGGGAAGATTAGAGCGGTTAAATCACTTCAACGGCTTTGTTGTGGGAGGGGAGCAAGGCTGCAGCTTGGAAGATTTGAACCCTTTGGGGCAGCTGAGGGCGCTGGAAATACATAACATAAAGGAGGCGGTGGTAGCGCAGAAGGGACGACATGTGCTTGGGAACAAACGTCATCTTAAGGAATTAAGATTGGCCTGCACTAAACCGGGGGAATCCCCACCAGCTGAGTACAGCGAAGGGGAGATCCGCAGAATTCAGGATGTGTTTGAGGAGCTGGCCCCACCGCCATGCCTGGAAGAATTAACAATCGACGATTACTTTGGTCTTCAGTTTCCAAGTTGGATGATGTCACCATCGCTGGGATCTCTTCTTCCCCGTCTCACAAGTTTGGACCTTTATGATTGCGGAAACGTCGTGCAGCTTCCTCCTCTCGGTCTGTTGCCTGAATTGAGAGATCTTACTATTTGGAATGCCAAGAAGTTTATGGGAGCGACTCTACACCGGTGCTCTTTCCAAAGCTTGAGTCTATTTATCTCCAGGGAATGCAAAATTTGCAAGAGTGGTCATTTTGTAGAGAAGAGGAGATTACTGTGTTCCCAAACCTACTGAGGCTGACTGTTGAGGACTGCCCGAGATTGAAATCACTCCCTGGGGGCCTGAAGGGATCTCCCTTGAAGGAGTTGGTCATCGACATCTGTCCAATTCTGGAAAGGATCTCCCATCTTCCTGCACTAAGAGAGTTGAGCATCAGTGGGGAATGCCCTCTATTGAAAGATGTGGAGAAACTGGATTCGTTGGAGAGGCTAACTATATATCCACCGGGGATGGATTTTCTCGCGGAGGGACTGCTGAGGCTGCTGCAAGACCGACAGCTACACCAGGATGATGATTTCACACTTGTATTGCATTCTCAAAGCGATGTTCTTTTCAGTAAGTGCGTTATGGGAGGCGAATACTGGCCGGTCATCCAAAACTTACCCAGAGTCGAAGCCGATTGGGGATATCTAAATCTAAGATACACCAAGGAACCCTATCACTACGAGACCAGTTAAAAGCGCTCTCTTTCTTGGTGTTTATTTCTTAGTAAACTCTTTTACCAGTGTTATTTGGATCATCCAAAGGATGTTGTATGTTCCTAGAATAAGTTGGGTAATACAAATGTCTGGGTTAGCCTTTTCCTTTGAGATTATGTCTTGACTAGGCATTTGCGAAGAGGAGGATTTTCTGTAGCTACTTTTATTCTCTTGATGATTTGTAGAAAAGGTGATGTCTTGACTAATACTGTATAGCTATGTTTTATCAATTCTTATAGTGAATGTGATGCACGGACTATTTACATTAAGTATTTTCTAATTTGGTATATTATATATCAGGAAATGACTTTTCGCTTTGACATCATAGACAATTGTTTCTTTTGACAAAATGTAAATAAACTTGATGCATATAGAAGAGCTGCGTAGTTGGTATGAATCAACTACAAGTTCCCAGGATTTAATGGTGTAAGGGCCAGCATGGGGCGCACCATTTCCTGAAAGTCTCAAAGCCTGACCTCTGATTTTATGGCCATTAAACTCTAGAAAAATCAATTCACTAATTACTTTATTTACGTCACTTGTTATTTCTTTTCATATAAGCCTGCGTAGATGATTGGAACTTTGAGAAACTAGTTGAAGGTTTAAAATGAAAGTTTTAGATCAAAGAAGAATTGGAATAAATTTCATGTAGCACTGGTGGAGTCATCTTATTGGGTCTGTGTATTCAATCTTTTTGCTTGCATTTTTTTCCTGGCATGTGACAGTTTAGCTTTAACATGTTTAGTTTCAGACTATCTACCTGTCTATCCAAAAAAATTCATACAAACCCTTTGGTGAAAGCAACTGATTCTTGAGACATTGCACTTTGATTACTCATGCTCGTATTTCTTAAAGAAACAAGAGATCATGCATGACAATTTGTTCACACCACTATCTTGGAGAACTCTTCCATAAACCTAGTTTGAAAATGCTTCCATACATTACCCAAGGCATCAACTCAAAGATAGTTTAAATGTCGGTATATAGCATTTTAAGTGTATGATATTTCTAATTTGTTGTATCCTGCATATCGATCTAAAGCACTGTTAGTATGCAGAGATTGAGTTTATTGCACGTGTCTATACTTTTTACTTGCGGTTGAACTAATTCGCTTGTTCAGCATTCCGAGAGTTTCTTGCAGGTTGTGGAAACACCTGGACTAATTACCTGCTGCTCTTGTTTCAGCTTTGCAAAATCGAACACTCGTAATCATTTAGCAAAACAAAGGTGAGCTTTGCATTATCGGTTAAGGGTAGAGTAGAAGGAGATGAGGAAGACAGAGGACCTCAGTATCGTCAAGTAAAATTATGCAAACACATTGTTTGGCGCAAATATAGATTTAACGAGCATTGTGTTGACTGTTGCCAGTCAAAGCTGATGTATCATCCACACTCTTATTATCTCAGTTAGACAAAATAAATTCTTAGAATTATTTCTTTGTTGATTTTTCCTCCTGCCTGGATAATGAACTTTGTTACCATCTAAAGCTCTCAGTGAAGGTTTACTATTCAGTAATTCGAAGAGTAAATGTTCAGACCGATGCTCGCCCGTTGGCCCTAGATAGCCGGCCTTGAGCACATAATGTGGGCTTTTTACACGTGCACGTGTGCACGGTTGAAACAGCCCAGCCACTGCTACCTTCTGATTTGGGCCGCATCTCTTGTGAACATCCAGAGTAAATAAATTGTTATGAATTAGCTGACTATACATATTCTACTAGAACAATTCTCGCGCAACAAGAATAATGAACAGCTCCGATCTGAATCCACCTGATCAACTTACACTCTGATTATTAGGGGCGTACAACAGGTTGTCCAAAACTTATGGATGTATACATTAATATCTTGGGATTTTTTTCACCTCATGAGAACCAATGAACCAAATCGACTGAAACTACCATTCTTTTTTCTTTTTTTTTTTAACAGAACCATCTTATAAGTGGGGTTAACTTTCAATCAACCACACGAGGGTAATTTCTGTTAAAATTATATTCTAAATACCAAAAATACCCTCCTCAACCACCCCAACCGCTCGATTGCACCTCCACCCAGGGGCGGAGCTACGACCTTTTGAATGGTGGTTCAAAATATAGGGAAAAAACAAAGCATAGATATAAATAGAGAGAGGATTAGGTTTGGAAAAAATATATGGTCTGCCTGGTTTCGAACCAGGGTCCTCAGGCTACATAAACACTTATCCATTCCATATTTATCCGCTGGACTAAAGGCTCCTTTTGGTTTTAGATCTGATATATATGGTATATAAAGTAGTTTTCAAAATATGAGGTGGTTCAAGTGAACCACTTTGAACAGGCATGGCTCCGCCACTGCCTCCACCTTTCTCCCTTCTTCCTCCTCGTCTATCTTACCTCGATCGTTGTCCTCCTCCGTGCAGACCACGGTTGAGACAAAGAAGAGGAGGACTGGGCTACAAGAGAAAGAAGCGATGGTGGGCGAAAGAGGAGAGAGGAAGGCAGAAGTGAAATAGAGGAGGGAGGAGGAGGAAAGAGATTTGATAGAGGAGGACAGAGCTTAAGAGGATAAACGGAGGAGGAAGGAGGATGGGTGGATGAGGAGAACAGCGAAGATGTAACGGAGAAGCGGTGGAAGTAAGCTAGGCGGATGAGAAAAGAGAAGGGAGAAGAGAGGAGGGTATTGTGGATATTTCAGATAAAGTTTTAAACAAATTTTTTCCTTGAATGGTTGATTGAAAACTAAGCCAAGTGGCTTCTGTATAAAGAAAACTTAGAAGGGGGTTTCCATCAATTTGGCGTATTTAAAGGTGGTTTTGATGAAAAAAGCCTTAAATATCTGAAATTCTAATTCTACGGGTGCAATGTAGTTTAGCTTTGGCTTGTCATGCCTTATTAGTTTCTCAGGTATTTGTTTAGCCGGAAGAAACACCAGCTTTTGTTCATTCTGCTGTAACAAAAGATGCTAAATTTGTTGAACGAATGGATTAATTTATATGTGATGCATGTACTCTTTTTTCTTGACTAGTTTTTTTTCCCCTTTCCTTAACTAGGTTTTAAAAACTTTGTGGCATTTAAGTGCCAATTGTGAAAAACGTTAGGGTATTTAAGTGTTGCCAAAATAAGTGAGGGTTATTTAAGTGCAATTTTAAAAAAAACTTTAGAGTATTTTCTTGTTGCCAAATACATGTGGAGTTATATAAGTGCTAAATTAGGTAGAACAATACAGTATATAAGTGCTATTTAGCTCCAAAAAAATGCTGCTTTTAAATTACCTTTAGACAGGCCATTTTTAAATTACCTTCAAACATGGATACAAGTACCTCTGGAGCATTCATATACGAAGGGGACTCCAAGTTAAGACTACATTTCAAGTTTTGATTTTCGAAGTAAACGGTCTGGACATCCTATGACTAAAAACTTCTCTCCTATTATTTTACTTCTTTCAACTGTTCGATCAAAATTTCAATTTTATCAACTTTAATAGTTTTATAAACTTTTTTCTTTTTCTGAATATAGGACTAAGCTTCATGAAGAATGTGTCCACGTAAGCTTTCGAACTCAGAGCGATGGCGCATGACAAAATGATATAACTGTTGACGATCACGTTGTTTTTGAAATGATATGACAAAGTCTGGAAACGTCTCAGGAATAAGTTCCTCCTGTTGGCCTTCTTGTTTTGATGATGTTTAACAAACAATTTACTTCTAATGTTGTTTGTCTAGTGTTTGTGTTTTTCGTATTTATTCTAGGCAAACAACGAGTTGGAGGTTAGATGGATTGCGCCATAACGATCATATCAAATGGAGGTTGTCAGATATTGTGGAGTGAAGCAACGTAATTCAAAGTTAAAGATTCAAGTTCAAGCTTCATCCGTAAGATTACCAAGTCAAGCTATTGAAGATCAAGATCAAGCTTGGGTAATTTAGTTTTAGGTTTTATATTATGTGTGTTAGTACTTTAAGCTCAATCATATACACACATACACATTTTGGTTTTGTATATATATAGTTATATATATACCTATATGTTTTGGTTTGATAGTTTTCAAGTTTTAATATGAAACAATTGAATACAATTGAAAATACATTTCTTGTTTCATACTTATATGCATATATATGATTTCATCAATATTAATTTTATTTAGTTCAATGAAATCATGTTTTAGTGCATTATATGTGTATTTTGATAAAATACTATATTCATTGTTTATAAACTTCATAACAATAGTTTACATCTTCCATTAAGTCTACAAAATCATTCTGTATTGTTTCAAAACATGGTTTAGCCAAATTGTCAAAATTCATATGTTCTCATTTTCATGTTTGGACTATTTTGCAAAATGATGATATTTCTCATTTGGAAAGTCCTTTTAGAAAACCAGTTTTTGTAGCTTGTGTATTATCATGTCTACAATCATTTCCCAAAGTTTCATAATTTTTGGAATTTATTTGATATTTTTAAACAGTGTTTTAAAGTCAGCAAAACAGTTTTCAAAACCTGTCTTTTTCTGTGTCTGTTCTGAGTCCAGAGACTCAGAATAGTTTTTGTTGGCTCGCGGTCGACCGTATGCAGTCCAGAAACTTTCACGGTCGACCGCCGCGGTCGACCGTCAATTGTCCAGAGCCCTACCTTTGCTATTTAGTTGCTCCACGGTCGACCGCCGCGGTCGACCGTCAATTGTCCAGAGCCCTACCTTTGCTATTTAGTTGCTCGCGGTCGACCGCCGCACTATCTTGTCATTCTCAACGGCTATTTTCTGCAGCCCTTGTTTGGGGCTTTTGGTCTTTTGTTTTGGGTTTATGGCTGAGTTTTTGGGAGGCTATAAAACCCCCCTTGCTCTCATCCTTCATATCCTGTCTATGAAGTTTTAAGCAAGTTTAAAAGAGTTTTTAACAGAGGGTTTTATAGTTTGTTTAGTTTGTTTTTGGGGTTTGCTTTTACAAAGAGGAGCTTGCATCATCTGTTGAGGAGTTCATCTTCAATATCTTCTCTTCCTCTCTTTGTGTTTATAGAGAAGTTTTCTAACTCTTTTCTCTAGCAATATTATTATTCATTTTTATTTTCTTATTATTGCTTGTTTGCTATTTGAGTTAGATTTGATTTTTCTCATTGTTACACACACCCACATTGAGCTTATTGTATTTTTCATACATAGTATATTTGGGTTGGTGAGAGTTGTAACAATTGAGTGT